TACATTGATTTCCTAAGTGGCCGTATCTAAGACAGTTAAAGCATAGCAAAACTTTCTGTTTATATATTTCAACTTCTTTAATAACCTTATTGATGACTATATATTTAAGTAAAGTTTGCGATTTAAAGGTCACAATACAAGACTTAGTAGTGACATAATCGACAATTTTTTCCTCATTAACAAATTTTTTTACTTTACGCGTAATTCTTTTAACGTTTGCAATTTCAAAAATGCAATGACTATCATACTGTTTAATTATATTTTTAATATACTCTTCTGATAAATCTGTGTCTATATCCCTAATAACTCCTTGTCTGTACTAACCACGTAAAAAAGAGGAAAAAAAAGGAAGAAGGATCTTGGACTGTTGATAATAGCTATTTTTATTGGAAATTTCAATCAAAATATTAATTACATTAAGATGCTACAAGAAAATAGCTTCAGAACAATATTGATATTAGCATTGAATAACTTTGTCAATCTATAATCATTCAAATCGGACCGGATAAGGAATCTGGCACAGAAGAAGAGGAAATCCATAATTTATAAGTAAATCAGTAAGTTTTTAATTTATGCACATTGCTTAAATATTCGATATTAATACAATCTTCTTCTTCTGGTGTACTCCATTACTGGAGGTTTGCGATCACTTTACCAAATGTTCTTTTGCCTACTCCTCTTCTTATTTTCAATTATAATTCGTAGTAGGTTGTATTTTTCATTTCTTATTAGGTAACCGCTTTAACATTAATTTTATTTAACCTATAAATCTGACCATTTTTTATTCTCCAACACTGACCTATGATTTTCATAGCTGTTAGATGTATATTCAATGGGTTTGTAATGTTATTTTTATCTGAACAGGGTCTCTTAAAAAAATAATATCTAAAACTACATTTCAATACGAGTGATTTCAGTTTAACTACTTAATCTGCTGTTTGCAGATTAGTGTAGATTTGCATTTTTAATGATCTGCCAGTTGCAAACAGATAGACTTTAGTATAGGGTAATAAAAATATTCTAAAAAAAAATAATCTTGATAAAAATAAATTATACACAAAGTGATTGTTTTTAGGTGGAATATTCACCGATGAAAGTCAAGCTTTAGCGTTCAGAATAGCTACCTACAAGATGAATGACAAATATCCACATTCAGACATAGAGCTAGAAACCGTCACGTACCAGATATCTCCTTTCAACACCGTGGAAGCTTACAAGAGCACCTGCGATCTTTTGAAGCAGAAAATAGTTGGCCTTTTCGGCCCCAGTTCCTACTTTTCGTCGTCATTTGTTCAGAGTGTTTGTGATGCCAAGGAGATTCCTCATATAGAGACCCATATGGACTACCATATGCGGAGGAATGAGAGTTTAGTCAATTTACATCCACAGCCGAGAGCGTTGTCTATGTTATTTAGAGATTTGGTTGAAGCTTATGGCTGGCGAAGAGTTGTTGTATTGTATGAAGATGAAGAAAGTTTGTTGACTGTGGAATTTTTGCTCCAGTTGAATGAAATTAAAAACATAAATGAAAATAAAGGTATGAGACAAAAATAATAATTTATAATTTTTTTTTGATATATTGACCATTTATATACATTTCTTCTTCTTCTCATGGCGCCGTCTCCTTTCGAAGGTTGGTGATCCAAATGGCAATTGTGGTTTTGGAAACTGCTGCGCGAAAGATTTCTGCGGATGAGCGGTCGAACCATCTCCTTAGGTCTTTCAGCCATAAGTTCTGGCGTCTTCCTACTGATCTTTTGCCCTGTACTTTTCCTTCCAGTATAACTTTGGATAATTTATATTTTTCGCCTCTCAACACATGACCCAAGTATTGCATTTTCTTCTCTTTTTTCCTATATATATTTAATGAAGTGGTATTTAGCCTACTTCACTGCGACCTCTTCAGATCTATTGTGGTCCTCTAATCCTAGATTACATTCTCTAGCCTGATCCTTTTTAAAAGGTCGACAACCTTTGAGACTATACCTTCCATGTAGCTCTAGACGGGTGGTTTTCCTCGCCTAATGCAAAGAACTGCACATATGCCAAGCTACGGTACTGACACAAAATTTGCTCTGCTGTTACTTCCGTTAGGTTACAAAATCTTCATAGATTATCATCTGCCAATCCCATCAGCTTTAACTGCCTATTAAGCTTACAGTGGCCTGTTAACAGATCTGCTATGTCTTTGACTGTTTTCCTGTCGTTGCTTATTAGGTCTGCTGTAAATTTTAACGAATGTTCTATAATGAACTGTTTAGCCAGTCTTTGTTTTGGTGAATTCCTCCACCATTCAAGAGATTTGTGTGCTACCCACTTTCTTGTAGCTTCTTTTTACTGCCTGTGCAATACCGCGTACAATGAATGGCATTATTGAGCCTTATTTGGCCATTTTATTTGCTTTTTTATTTAGAGCCTTAGACTTTAGAGCCTTATGACCTTCGTACCCTAGTACTCAGGCTACTGTAATTATGCTAGTCTTATTTAGTGCCTTAAGCTGTCTGCTTGGCTGTCTTGCTATCTGTAAAGATAGCAATTGAATGGTGCGTCCTTTTTGTCTTTCTATTTCTTCCAAGCAGTTATGGATTGCACTCATTTTTTCCTGGAAAATTGTGACATCCTTAGATAGACTTACAGGGAAATGTATCCCTTGCTTTATCCTTACTATACCGGCTCCTACACCCTCAGATATTTTTAAGCCATCAGTGTACCAGGTAGCTTCTGCTTGTATGAGTACACCTTCCTTCCAGTCTTTCCTGCCTGGTATTTTCATTTGTTGTCAAAGCTTTATCTCGTACTCCTGCATCGATGGGTTGCCCCATTACAATATATGCTTTTAGCTCCTCAATTAGATTCCTATTGTCAGCACTATGCTTCTGGATTTTGTGTTGCTGATATGTATAAATTTGTGAATCACAGATCTGGCCTCGCCCTGTATAAGAATATAAAGTGATGGAAGATTTAGCAGCAGTTCCAACGCCGCTGTAGGATTTGTATATTATGGCCTCCGTAATACACAGATATAAAGCGAAATGTGGAAAGAAGAAGAAAAATCTAAGAATATCGTGACTTAAGAACTTGAGGGAATGGTTTGAATGCTGTAGCGCAAAACTAACCTTTGATAGAAGATGGAACTTGAAGAAGAATAATACACAGACATGCTAGCCTTTGTGTATTACTTAGCAGTCTTATTGTCATTTTGGTGTTGAGCCCCCAATTTTTACCAAACATCCTAATACATTTGCCCAAGGACATAGTAGCTCTCTGTGTGGTTTTCAGTATGTGAGTATTTCATGTAAGCCTATGATCAAAATATACCCCTAGGTACTTTGTTTCTTTGGCAAATGGAGTCTCTGTTCCTCTCTGCGCTGGTGGTTTTAGGCAATGCAATGCTGCCTTTTTTTGTGAAGTTGATGATTTATGTTTTTTGAGCATTGACTGTCAGTTTTTCTTGTTTATGCCAGTTGTTAACTATATTTAGGGCTACTTGCATTCTCTCGGATACAACCTATGTCCCTGACGACGATTGCAATATCGTCAGCGTATCCTAGACAGTAAAAGTCTTTTGTGTATTGCTTTGTGCGAAGATCATATATCAAGGTTGTCCAAAGTAGAGGTTGTCAAAACTTTTTCTTGTGGACAGCCTTCATCTGCACTTGCTTTGACGGTTTATCCTTTACCCATAGTGGATATTATTTCCTATTCTTCAGGGGTGCCCTTAACCATCTGCATATTACCGCAGGTGTGCCTCGTCTACTCATTACTTTGACCAAAGAGTTGGTGGTAACATTATTAAACGCCGCTTCAATATTTGAAAAAGTGGCCATTGCTATTTCTTTGTCCTCTGTTGACTTCGAGATACGCCTATTTAGATTATCTCACTACTTAAAGGATTATGTTTTAGTAATTCGTCTCTTATATACCTATCCATGAGCACAAACTGGCTTTGAGGATCTTGCTTATATGTGGTATCAATACCTCCTATCTCATATGCAAAATTATTGAATATATCCCATCTGCCCTGAAGACTTATATGGCTAAAATTTATTTATAGCCCATCTAATTCTGCTTGATCTTGTGATTGCTGTGGCTGTTTCCCAATTTATATAACCTGACATAATTTGGCCTTTGGTCTATGATGGTTTGCCTATCTGCATAATTCAGAATTGTTGAGGCCGGAAAGTGCATGTTTATCTTTAAGACTTTTCTATTTGGTCTCTGTAAATTTGCTATTAGCTTACTTTAGAGGATCTACTCCTTTAATGGTAGAACCATCCTCTGCCAGGATTTTATGAATTCGAGAGCAGGCTCAAAATATCTATAATTTCCTCGAAAAACTCATTTTAGCTTTGCAAATTTCTTTATTGTATAGCGTTAAATTATATTTGTAGGCATCCCAGTCTTGGTTACTTTTGGTTTTGTTAAATAGTCTTTCAACTTTTACCCTTAGTTTCTTTAAGCCATTGTTCACCAGACTGTATTACTGCCTGTATTTTTTCTTGTTTTTTTTTCCTGAACAGTTTTTATGGTAAGCTGCCATATTAGCTTCGCTCACCGTTTCTCAAACCTCATGTTTGAGATCCCAACATGAGGTTTCATAAGACATTATCAATTTGTAATACTTAATATCACTTACTTTGCTTGTACAGGGTATTAAATATATAAAGTACAAAAATACTGTACTTAATATGTGATAGTAATACAAGAGAAGTATTATATAGAAATAGTAAAACTAGTTTAACCAGAAATATAGTAAATTGAATGTAACGTCTGTCCTAAAAGTATTGGCACAAAGTTCATTGGTTTTAATTTTAACACAAATAAAATATTATTAAGTTGACTTTTGAGACAAAAATTTGTTTACTTTAATTCGTTTTGAAGTTTTTGATTGAAGATGTATAAATTAGAAACAAATTAAAAATAAGAAAAAGTTTGTTGGACGGGTAGCCAAAGCTGAAATCTGTCGAATATTCCAGAATGAAAATAGTTCACGCAGACCCATGTATAGAACAATAGCGAAGTGCGAACAGGGAATAATATGTTTAATCCTCCCAAACAGTAAAAGGCCACGTGCATTTACGGGACAGAGATCAGAGAGATTGATAAGAAGGACAAAAAACAGGTTGGAATATCAACGAGGAGAGACTGGCTTGTCAATAACCACTTCTAAGAGTAAGATCGTTTTAATTAAGGAGGAATGGTCTTAAATACGGAAAGAAGCGTAATTAAACGTAATTAGACCATAATTACTTTTAAGCGAAATTTCTTCGTATACCATGATGCTGTCGTCAACTGAGACGGGTACACTTTTCCAATAAAAAATCATTATTATAGATGACGAAATTTTGATTAATTCTAAAATGAAGAGAAACTATGAATTTTATACAAACAACATATAGGAATGTTATGATAATATCGGATACGAGCACACAGCAAAATATGTAGATAAAATCCTTGTGTGGTGCGCCATTTCTAACAGGGGTGTATCTCGATCTTTTGTAGAAAAAGCGAGAAGCTTTGAATAGTCAGAACTACCTATATTAATAACAAATTATATATAACGTAATATAACGTAAATATAAAACAAAAATTGGTTTCAAAATACTAAATCATTTTATAACCTTTTTAATTAATATTGAACTCTCTTTAATGTTGAGCAAAAAAGGTAGAACTGCTAGACAAACAAACATTTCCGAGTAAGAAAAGTGTAAATAACTTCTTATTTATACTGTAAAATAAAAAAATAAGATTTTTTTTATTCAATTTAGAATTTACTGATTTTATTTTTTTTTTTTTTCATTACTAGAGTCATTTACTTTCGTACTTCTTATACTGTACAGTAGAGTGGACCATTGGCACTTGAGTGTTTAGAGATAATACAAAACAGTCGTAAATTTTTTTAAATATACTTTATACTTCATCTAGAAGATTACAACAGTCTTTGTAGAGTAGTTATCATAAAAACTGTGTTTAATCATTCTCGGAGTATAATGTTTTGTTTAATCCCTTGTTTTATTTGTTTATTGCAGCCTTTTAATAAAGGTAGGGGATACAACTTTGGAATTTTAACTCTGTCTCTTATAATGTGCAAATATAGTCCTCTTGTACTTTTCAAATGACAATTTCCTGTTTTTTATAACTAGATACATTTCTTTATTCTATTTTTATCTATATTTAGGCAAAAAAGTCCTTCTTAAACAGCTGGAAACCACCGACAGTGGAAACTATAGGGTAGCTTTAACGGAAGTCAAAGCCCTAGGTGAAACCAATTACGTATTAGTCTGTTCTACTAATATTTTAGAAGAAGTTTTAAAGCAATTGCAGCAAGTAGGAATGATGACGGAAACATATAACTATCTCATCACAAATTTGGATACGCAGACAGTAGATCTGTCGCCGTTTCAGTATGCAGGCACCAATATAACAGCGGTAAGAAAACACTCTTTCACTATATTATTTTGTCATTATTTTCAAAAAAATTACAGGATTTGTAGAGACTTTTTTTAGGTTAGAAAAAATATAGAGCAAAGTGACCACTTTCTATATGTTAATTTTCATAATGTTCATAATTTCCATAATGTTCATTAACAATATTTTAGATCCATTATTTATAAGTTTTTTGAAACTGGCACACTACAAAATAAGAAGCGGTCTGGAAGAAAACGTACTGTTACAGAATACCCACAGATAAATGTTTTATTACAATTATTTGTATATCTATCTGTATCATACAGAACTGTAGCTCGTGATTGTGGTGTCACTAAAACCAGTTTTAAAAATATTTAAAAAAGGCTTTCATCTAAATTGCAAATGGTTTACGAACTAAGGGAAGATTGAAAGATTGGGAAGAATAAGGGAAGGATTCCAGTTGTGTCCACCACTTTTGAACAAAATCCCGATTATTTCTTTAGTGATGAAGCTATATTTTTTGAACGGCCACGTTTGCCATGAGGATGTCAAATACTGGTCTGATGCATAGCATCGTTTCGTGAAGGTCATACACAATTTCTGGAAAAGTAAAGTATACACTACACAAAAGTGTAGTATGAAAGTCTAAGAATAGTATAAAGTCTATACAGTCGTAGTTAGCTATATAACATGAAGTGTGTTTTGAGCACTTCATGGTTCTTTGAAATGAGTCGGCAATACACTCGAGAGACAAATCGCGGAACTAGGCCAAGTCCAGAGCGGAGACTGGGCGCCCGGTCAAGCAAAGCACTAGGTCAATATCTAATCAAAATAATAGCAGGATTACAGTCACGCACAACTTGATCTTCTTATTGCGCGGTCTCCTTAAAGGTTGTTAGAAATGCAATTGTAGCTTTGGAAACTGCTGCATGAAGATTCTGGGTAAGCGTCAACCATATCCTCGATCTATCAGTTAAGTTGGCGTCTTCCCACTGATCTTGTCTATGCTGATTCCGTTAATCTTGATTTCACCTAGGACCGCGTCTAATGCTTCTGTGAATAGATTCGAATACACATTAAATATTAGCGGTGATAAGATGCATTCTTGTCGCATTCCTCGTCAGATTCGTATACCTTTGGATGTTGTGAGGTCTATTCATTATTGCCGTTGTGCACATAGTTCTAGGATAATTCGAAATTTTTTCGTTAATTAAAGTTGTTCTCAGAGTTTTGATCATCTTTTGATGGTTAAAGTAGTCAAATGCTTTTCGATAATCAATAAGATATGCACATACATCTACATTCATGACTCTGCGTCGTTGTGTTAACAAATGTATGTTTCCAATGTGTTTTCAATCCGTTTCGAAATCCAAATTGAATGTCACTCATCTGGAACTCACACTCCTTGTAAATTCGTGCACGGATAATTCTGAGAAAAGAAAAAAGGACATAAGACAGCATTCTTCTTCTAAGTTCCATCTTCTAACGAAGGTTGGATATCAACATGGCAATTCTTATTTTACTTACAGCAGCTCTAAATAGTTGGCTAGAGCTCAGACAAAACCATTCCTTAGATTTCGTAGCCAGGAGGTTCGTCCTCTTCCTACATCTCTTTTACCCTATTATTTTTGCCCTCTATAATCAAACGTAGTAGCCCATAACGAGGACCTCTTAATAATAGACCGAAATATTCAAGTTTCCGCCTCTTATTTCTGTACAATTTCTCCCTCTTATTAACCCAATCAAGGACTTCAATATTGGTAATTTTGTCTACCCATCTTATTCGTAGCATCCTTCGATAACACCAACGCTCAAAAGCTTCCAATTTCTTAATCTCCAGTTTTTCAATGTCCATGCCTCAGATCCGTAGAGCAAAGTTGTAAAAATGGTAGCAGCGCAATAACCTTTCCTTAGATCCATTCCTTAGGTCTCTACTACACAATAGATGTTTCATTTTTACAAATTTATGCCCTTGCTATTTCTATACGGCTTTCTAATCTCTTGCGTTTGTTCTGCGTTATGTGACTAACCAATGTTCCTAGATATTTGTATTTATCTACCCTTTTCATCTGGATATTATTAATATGGGAGTGTCTCGTTGTCTATTTGGATGTTTTGTAATGACCCATGAATTTTGTTTTCTTTAAGTTCATTTTAATACCATATATGGTACACTTTTCATTCAGCCGTTCCAGTATGTTTGTATGGACTTTGATTGAGGATCACAGACTCATTAGCCTGATGAGTCACACTTTAAAGATATTCTTAAAAATATCTACATCAAAAGATTTTAACAAAAATTGTGAATGGGACATCTGTGATCCCAAGTGCGGGTTTAGGAAAGGTTTTGGAACAAGAGAAGAATAGTAGCAACAAGTGTACTGGTCCTAAATTGTTTCGATCAGAGGAGGATATGTGTTCCTATGCTTTTTTGATTACAAAAAAGCGTTTGATAGTGTCCATCACCACAAGTTATTGCAGATTCTCAAGAAAGTTGATATAGACCAAAAAGACAATCGTAAGATGCATTGTATACTTGTACTGGCATCAAACGGCCACAGCTAAAAATAGACAATTCTATATCTTAGCTCATACTTATATAAGAAAGAGGCGCTTCAGCAGGGATGTGTGCCTTTCCACTATTTTATTTAACATTTATTCAGATGCCTATGTCATGTGTTTTGGAGGGATGATTTTTTACAGTGATGGGGAATCAAGGTGAATGGAGTATTGATCAACATACATACGAAATGCTGATGATGGTGTTTAATTTGTGACAACTTACTCGATCTTCAAACAACTTGTCACTATAATCGGAGAATACACGTCGACCGACGTTTGCGAGCTATCGAGAGATTAATACCAAAAGACCAAATTCTTGATCTTCTCCAGAAACCTTGGATGCATTTGAAAACTCCACCATAACACTGAATGTAAAATCTCATAGAATGAGTGAGTAAATTTAATTACCTGGGATCGTGGCTTTTTGAAGAGCTGGGCATCGGACAGGGAAGTAAAATGTGCATTTGAGCATGTCGACAAGCTTTCGTTAATATTCAAGAAGCTACTACTTTTGTTGGTTTGCTTTTGACTAAAATCCCAACACTAGTTAGTTTTATATACTATTTCAAATATGTTTTTTCGGTGATTCTATATTATCGGCTAATTAAGATGAAGGCTGAAGGAAGAAATACTTTTACTCATGTTTTATTTTCTGTAGTGTAGGCAGTGTTAGTGAGCGTATCTTTGCTTGAATATATTCTCAATAGATTCTTTAGAAATATTAATAATATATTGAATGTAGGTTACTATTATGATATTTTACATCTCACTTTCACAATGTAAAATAAAAAATAAATTATTATTATTATAATCTAAAAACGATGAAGTAGATGAGGTATACAAATATGAATGATTAATATGAATATTTAAATTTAAATTATATTTGTTGGATTAAAACCCCTTTCTAAGATTCTTTGGATTAGTATTACGTTCCATGAATTTGTAAATTGTACAGATGCTTGGGTTTTTCCGCCAGGCGGGTTTGCAATTAGATATTCAAAAATATTTTATCTATTGATAGTATTGACCTCTCTTCTTTCGAAATAACTTTTGTGTAAAATGCAACAGCACTTTTTGCGTGCATTTTATATGTATTTTTGTTTGTTCCATTATATATTTGTTAGGGCTCGTAATTTTAAATTTTATTTCTTTATTTTTAATCCACCCCATATTAACACTGTCTTTTCTCTTCCTAAAAAGTAATTTCTCTGTAGAAGTTTGGAGCAGTAACGTATATAATATACACTGCTCTATTCTCTAGTGTTTATTAGTGATGTTGATACAGTATAGAGATTTTTAAGAGCTTTTATGAGAGTATGGCTAGTGCTAGTTTCTTGTAGTGTGTTTCATAGCATTTATACAGACTGTTATTCGTGTGTTAACCCATTGTTTTGTCTGAGTGATGAGTTCTTTTGTACTTTCTTTACACCAGATTTTACTGCGAAGAGCTCTAGTTTTAACACTATTACGCATCTTTAGCTGCAGATTTTATATTATTAAAATAGTTCTGATAGACATTTGTCAAAGGTTTTGGTCTAGCTTTAATGCATCAAAAAGTTTTCCATCTAATCTTGTAACGATTAGTTTGTCTACCACATGGGATTGGATTGGGGCAACTACAAAAAGTAAATCAAAGGAGGTACTTACATGAATCTCTTGAACAAACACAATACAAGAAGGTTCTAAAGCTATTTAAAATGGACGCCGCATAAAAAATCTTCCTGTTGGGTGAACGAAAAGGCTTTTTCTTCCTAAAAAACACAAAAAGGGGGTTAGGAACTTTTTTAAAAGAAATAAGCAAAATGGTTTAGGAAAAAAATTTAATGTTTATCGTTATCTCACCACAAACAGTTACAAATATAAAGAATATCAATAAAATACAAAATATCAAAGACAAACTTACTATGTTCTAACCGTTTACAACCTCTAGAAATCGGAAATACTACAAAACTTACAACTGTTAATGGCAGACAATTTATAACGGAAAAAATTAGAAATGAAAATAGCTTTTAAATGGAACTAAGCATAGTGGTTAACATTTTTTAAAAAACAAAAACAAAACAAAATCTTAAATATGATTAGGTATGTATCAACTGTCAAAAAAATAGAGCTAACTGTCATAATTAGGTCAATACCAAAGTCCAAACTTTGAGAATAATTAATATGACACCCTAACATTTATAATTTTATTTATTACAATTTCTTAACCTGTTATGAAAGCAATTATTACCAGAAAATGTCTTTTTTACTTTAAAAGTTCAACAAAAAAAGTTACCTGGATTTCACTAAATGTTAATTTTATTTCTTTCAAATTTCTGGGATTGGATTAGACTTACACTGCAAACACAAACAAATGCATCTCTAAACTGCAAAGATGATAGGCTGAAATGGCTTAGAACAACAAAATGAGGCTGGAAGTTGGGCACTGGACGCAAACTTCGAAACTCGACTTCTCAAAAACTGGAACTATGTACTGCTATCTTTCAAAGTTGTTGTAAATGCCGCAAATCTCTTAGATACAAATCTCTTAGGTGAGAGACGGCGTAAAAAACAAAAAACAGTGATTACTCTTTCAAAACTGACACATTACATTCAGAATAATTCACGTTTTTCAACAAATTTGCCGGCTTCTTAACGCCGATATTCGCCGCGTGTTGTCTCAATAAAATTTATTCCAAACCTTACTTTAACTGCACAATTAACTGCCACAATACTACACATTTTCCATAACAAAAGACGAAAAACGAAACAATTTACGAATTTGAAGAAAAATTCGGACTCCAATAAAACTAAACGCCTTTAACAGCGGCCGGCCTTACGGAAAGTGATGTAATTCCTCTGCCTTCTCTGCAAAACCTTCTCAGCGATCTAAGTGGATGTTTATTTTAGCGCATATTAGCGAACGATCAAGAAATACCAAGAAATACGCGTCTGTGATATATAAACAAACTTTAAAATGTGTTTATTATTAACTCCAGCGATGCAAATACTTTTTCGGTGTTTTAACATATACGGGGTAATTTTAATACATACGAAAGAATATAAAAGTGCTACAATCAAAAATAAAAAAGCAAATATAATATATAACAAAAATTTAAATAGGCAATTTTTTTAGAAAATTATCTTTTTCTTTTCTATAAACTATATATAAGTGTATCTATATAGAAAGTGAATGTTTCTTTTCTTTAAACTAAAATTTAATTCTCGTATTATTTACCAGTTAGAAGTTTTTTTGACCTATATTGGATAAATCTGACGAGAACAACTTTAATACTATTTTTTTTTTCTGTAAAATATAATAGCATTTTTTGTTTTAGATAAGAATGTTGGATCCTGACAGTAAAGAAGTCACACAAATAACAGAAAACATACAAAAAATGAGTGCCCTGCCATTTTCCGGTATTCCAATTCTTCTTCAAGCATGGAAAACTAAACTAGAAACAGCACTTATCATTGACGCAGTGCAACTGTTCTACGAAACCATCTATGATCTCACTAAGAATAAAAAGAAAGTCATCAGAGGTGTTTCTTTATCCTGTAGCAACCAAAGTAACTGGAATGAGGGATATACGATTACAAATCTAATGAAATCAGTTGGTATTATCTGCTTTTTATTATAGAAACACAGAAAACACATTTCTATTATATACTTCACATTTCAGATAAAGGGAAGTGATTAGTTTCTTCTGAACTAGAAGGACTACCACAATCTTGGCCAAAGCTTTTCTTTAGATAATAATAATGTATACACCTATTTCCAATAACTTTTTGTTCTAAGATTTATAATTAAAAAAACACAAACACAAATAATTTTATAATTAAGGAATGTGCCCTTTTATATCGTAATAACTACTTTGTTTTTTATAAAACCGTTCTACCATATGATGATGTAAAGTTTAATTTTCTTCTTAACAAATTTCTTCCATTCTTTGCAGTATTGTGTCAACATCCTTACGCCTGTTTATTTATGTCACTTCTATTTTCTCCAATACCTTTCCGATTTCTTCTTGTTTTTTAATATTTTTGCTTCCCACACTCTTCTTACTGGTATGTTATTTGTCGTTCAGTGTAAATAATCCCACTAACATAGCTATTTTTGTTCTATAAACTCCAATGTGGACTCTATTTTTAGTTCATTTCTTATATCTGTGTTTCTTATTCTATCCATTTTGGTAACGCCTTTAACTCTTCTTCAAAACTTTGTCTCTAAAGCCTGTATCTTGCTATTTTGCTGTTTCGTTAGTACCGATGATTCGCTTTCAAAAGTCAGAACAGCAAGTCATTTAATTTAACCCAGCCTGTGATACTTGTCCACATCTTAGAAAGACGTTTGGGTGTAACAATTCATTGGAGCGAGATATATTAACTCATGTAAGACAGGAGTCACTCCACCACTCTCGAATGATCCAGACATCCATTCCCCCTCACTTATCATCCCAACTATCAGCCAAATGCTCTTCATGTGGGAGTCCTGGGTAATATGACTGTTTCCCTTACTGATTTAAATTCAAGCTAGCGTTAACCACTGTATTTCTGTTATCCTCTAAAAGTCAGAACTGCATTGAAAATTTTCATTTTTATATTTCGTGATATTTTTTTCTGACATATGAATTTTTTGTTCATTGTATGATACAGTTTTCTCTACTCTGCTATTATTACTGCCTCTAGAGATCCTGTTTCTTCTATTATTACTCCTAAGTCATAGTCTCAATTTGTTCGATTTTTGTTCCTTCAATTTCTATATTAAGTTTATCTCTTGTTTCTCCTATCTGTATAACTTTTGTTTTGTTAATACTTATCTTTATTTCGTTTTCAGTGAGTACTTTTTTCCATATTTCCAAATTATTCTGACGTTCTCTTTCAGATTTTGCAAATAGCTCCAAATCGTCAATAAATACTCCTTCCGAGATTTCTATTCTTTGCAGATTTCTATACCCTACATTCAGTTTTTCACTCCTTTGTTGTGCATTTCTTAATAATTTCGTCCATAAATATATAAATATTGTTGGGCTATAAGTGCTCATCCCTTTATTGTAAACATATCTGATGTTATATTATTACTAATTACCGTATTGTTGTTCTCATTGTATATTTTTTGTATCATTCTTAGTAACTTTGTCCATTCCTTTTTCTCTTAATATTTTCCATAGTTTTGTCTTGGTACTTGAAGTCTTTTCTTTTCTATCTCAAGAATGCTACGTATTTTCTTTTTTCTTGCAGTGCAGCGTGTTTATAATCCTTTAAGTCTATATGTCCTGTAATTCTCCACTCTAATCCACTTTATGCTTCGTCTAATGTGTGTTCCTGTCATTATCTAAATAGTGTGTTTTTTATTTTTTAAAGTGTTCATACGTGTACATAGACATATCCTGTAGTTATTACATCTCCCTACTCTTTGTATATGGTACTACTTAGTCACTTCATCTCCATATCTTATTTTTCATATCTTATTAAATTTTTAGTAATATTTGTTCTCCATTTTCCCCATTTTTTATTTCATAATTTCTGTTGTTATTCTATCCACTCCAGCAGCTTTTCCATACTTCAATCTTTTTACTTCTTCATCTAGTGCTTCCTCGTTTATTGAGTTTTCTGTGTTATCTTCCAATATATTATTTTGTTCTTCATTAATGTCGTCTTGGTTTATATCGTTTATATCCGTTAGCAGTTTTTCAAAGTATGTTTTCATCTTTTAACTATTTCTTTTGTTTTTTATTAATTCTCCATTTTTCTTTTTTATGCTGTATATTTCATCTTTTTTGTTTCCTTATTGTCTTCAGGATTCTGTAGAAAAGCTTTTGATTATTTTTTCTATCTTGTTCGATTTTATCTCCCGAATTTATTCCAATGATCTCTCTTCGCTGGTGTTACTAATATTTTTGCCTGTTAATATTGTTCTGAAGCTATTTTCTTGTGCCATCTATGCAATTACTATTTTTATTGGGAATAAGCCACAATTCAGGTTTAAAATTATTTTATTTTTGACGTTTCAATTTCCAGTTCGGAAATTGTTCTTAAAATTTTTGAAGTGGAAATTGAAACATCAAAAATAAAATTATTTTAAAATTAAATTGGAGCTTATTCCCAATAAAACTAGCAATTTTTGCATTTCTTCTTTCATTCTCATAATTATTGTAATTCTCGTTTGTTTTATGCTTCAGATATTGTTTGTTTTTCAACCACCGCGCTGTCTGTTTCTTTGTTGAGTCTTTTTTATTTGTTCCACATACTTCCTTAGTTGAATCCAGTAGTAGATCCTTGCAGTTGTTGGTCCCCTTTATTGCCCTCTGTTCCTTTTATTGTTTTAAGTTTTTCGTTTACTTTTTTCTTAAATATTTTTGCCATTTCTTTATTTCTTAGTATACGTTTTAATCGCATCTTTTTATTCGGTTTTTCTTTTTCTGTACTAGACTTTTCCTTTTCTTTCTATTTCTTCTCGTATCTTAGTTGCTACCATATAATGGTCGCTGTCTATTTTGAGTCCTCTGTATACTTTTGTTTTCAATACTTTTCTTCTATCATTGCTTCTAACTAGTACATAGTCAATTATGAATTTTTCATTTCGACTTTTGACTTCTCTCTAGTATATATGTGCATTTCTTTGTGTTTAAAAAATTTATAAGTTATTGTTATATTGTTTAAAGTGAAAAATTCTAGCAATCTCCTTCCATTGTTATTTCTGGTCATTTATATCTAGTGTACTATATTTCATCTTTTATTCCGACCCTATTGTTGGAATTCCCTGCAATGTATATTTCTCCTCTTGCGGCTCGTGTTGTCAACGTTAATCCCGAAAATTCATCTTTGCTTTGTTCGTTATCATCTTCGTTTGGTCCATATACGACTATGATAGTTTTATTACGACTCCAGCCGTTATCATTTATTTCTATTAGTAAAATTCTTTCTGACAATGCTTTCCAGAAGTGTCTATGAATCTTTTATGTATTATTATAACCTACACCTGCAGCTGCTGTTTTGTCTTCTGATACTCCACTTTATATTAAAGTATGAGTATTTTCCATTTTACTATTGCTTGTCCTTTTTTTTGGTCTCTGATATTGCTAGTATACTTAATTCTATTACGCCAAACTCCTTTACTAGTTCTATTTCTTTACGATTTATTCTCTTTATGTTCCACGCCCTAATTTTCCAAATAATATATTCTTTTTTTCTTCTTAATTGGTGTGTCTATGTGTTTTAATCTTTTCATTAATTGACTCCAATTGATTTATGTCTGTTATAATAGCTAGGGTTTGGTCAGGTTTGCCTTTATCATATTCCATATTTTTTGCTACAAATTGTTTCCGTTTTTTCCGACATCTCCATTTCTCTCCTTCTACGCTAATCTTTTTAAAGCCTACTTTTATTATTTTCCCTGATTCTTTTATATTTTTCAGCTATGTCTTTTCTGCTTTCTCTTTCTTTGGTTGTTAAATAATTATTTATGAATATCTTTGCTCCCCTTTACTTTTTCAGCTAACTCTTATTGTTATGTTCCCTTATTTGTAGCCCTAGTTTTCTGCCCTAGTTTAATTGCCCTTTCTACATTTACTTTCTTATTTAGGTGTATTTCTATAAAACTTGTCATATCTTCTTTTATTTTCTTTTCATCTGTGTCAATCTTTAATCAAATTATTACAAAACTGTTTCTTTTCGATGTCTTTTCAAGCTTTTCTAATCTATTTTCCATCTCATTTAGACATTGCTTTGTATTTTCTAATACCTCTTTTATGTTTAGCTCTGACTTTTTTAATTCTATTGTCTCTTCTTTATATTCTCTATTCTTCTGTCTCTAAGCTTTTTGTACACTTCTCTTAGTAAATCGAGAACTTTCCATCTTTTAGCAGGACTGCTAAAACAGTTATTTACACCTCAACGGTGTTCATTTAACTAATATCACTTCTTCCGAATTATTTTCCATTACAAGTCTCCGTTTTTGTGGATGTTTATAGGCAGAAATTAAAACGAGGTTTCTTTAATCAACAAACGTTGCCACTACCTGAGATTATTGAACGGATTTCCGGTTTCGTTAGTCTAATGCCACTATCTTGTTTATTGATTTTATAAAACATTTTTATCAGAATCACTTTTATGGGTTCCTGATGTAAGTTCTCTCTGATTATTTGGTTTATGATGTTCTTGTAGTTTCTCCTGTATGTTATGTTAGTTAATATTGACAGTGCCATAGATTTTTAAATATATGATAATGTTTTCTTCCGTATTTCTTTCTTCCCAAAACGAGTTTTGTTAAAATTGTATAGTTTATTTTATTAGTTTTAACTGCTTCATTCGCTATTCATGTGTCTATAGACAAATTCACGAGAGGATTTCAGTACAGTGCTTATGAGAAGCGACGTTGCCACTTGGGCAGCTAGGCACGTTCATAGTCTGCAGGGGTGATACAGGACCGCGTTGGCCCTCCTGTACGATAACATTAAATCATGCAATCCTATTAAAAGTAAATGTAACATTACTGACAAGTTCAAGATTTTGCAAATTACACAACATTTAATAAAACTATTTTCTTTGAAATCTTTTTTAGTTAATTATACAGGGTGTAACAACAGAACGGAGTCTACTAGGGAAACTGCTACAAAAAAAATTTGTTGATCCGTAGTGG